ATATTCCAATTGTTCCAGTGTCACATCGTTTTCTTCAGTTCATCCACGAGGATTCTGTCTTCCAGTTCTGGGTGCTGCCATTCAGTCTTTCTTCAGCTCTGTAGGTATTTTGTAGAGTGTTACACTCTTTTACAAATCTTCTTGACTTGCTGGATCTTCGAACTCCCATTACATGGACTACTGTCTACTGTTTTCCTCTTCCTGTGCCCAGGCAGTTATTCACATCTGCTTACTTCTTTGAGAAGCTGCTCAGGTGGGGTTTCTCATCAATTTGGAGAAGTCCTTTACTACCCCCATGCAGTACTGTTCATTTGGGGGGTTCTATTCAATTCCCATCTTGATAAGGCCCATCCTTCTCGATTTCAGCTCCGGGATAGGGATTGGACATTTACGAGGGTCCTACCTTCTCCTTCCCTCTCTGTGAGAGATTCTATTTCTTTTGTGGATGAGGGTTTCCTTGGAAGCTCTCATTCCCTTGGCTCTGGTGCACATGCATTCCCTTCATTGGATGCTTCTCGACCACTGGAACTTATCTCTTGGACCATCCCATCACCCTACTACCTAGGATCAGGGCTGACCTTGCTTGGTGGCTCAACAGGGACTTGACCACAGTGGAGGTTCCAACTCCTCCACCTCGTCCCAAGTCTCATCTGTTCACAGATGCTTCTTTGGTAGGTTGGGGCTTTCCTCAGTTCTGGGGGTGGATGCTTTCAGTCAAGATTGGAGGGGTCTTCACCTATATGCCTACAGAATATAAAAGACTGGTGCACTACTAGCAACAATATTTTCTAGCAATGCTCAGAGGGCAAACCAGAATCAAAATGGCTATGGGTGAGAGAAAGATGAGTAGCAATTTTCAGTGTAAGAAAATGTTAACATAAAGGAAACAACATAAGATGCTTAATATTAATCTGTATGTAAAAAGATATAAGATCAGATATTCTTTTTTTCACAAAAAAGTTAAACAATTTTTATAAAAAATAAGTAGAATACAGTTTAAGAAATGGTCTCATTGTGGGGAAATATTTTTATAATGAATTAATACAGAAGTGGGCAAAAGTAAAAGTTAACGAATTAAGGATAAGTAGATGAAAGTTAAACAAGCTAATTATGTTAGTCATATTTTAGAGCTGTAATTAAGAAAACAGTTGTTTGCAAATAAATTCAAATTATGAACTGACTGCATATAAGTTATGAAAAGGAATAAGATGTAAAGTTGGAAGTTTAAAGCCCTACAACCATGTGTCCAAAAAGGAAGTCTTAATTTTTTAATTTTTAGACAAAACTGGTTAATTTTAGAAAGTTTAAAGAATTCATTTGTTTGGTTATATTAGTTAATTATCTGCCAGTTTACAGTGTCATTAAAGTAATAGACATGGATAGAGTATTATATGATCTTTCCATAATACAACAATGAAAACATAGATGATATGGTATATAAGTTTAAAAATAGAAGAATCTGGTATAACATGTAGGTTATGATTTCAATTGTAGCTATCATATTACAAATTAGAATTACAACAAACTATGTGTTGGGAGGAGTTAGTTACACATTTGTATTTTGACTCGTTTGTAAATATGCCAAAAAAAAGTGAACTTAGCATTTGATCTGTGTTTTATAGAAGACTGATTGGATACCAAACAATCCAAATTATGGTTTTATTTTCTGAATTCATCCAATGAAAAATGTATTTCGGAAGGTTTGATAATTAAAATAGAAAACTGTTAGCTGTAAAATTAATTATGAAAAATATATGATTAGTAAATTTAAGAGTAAGAATAGCCACCAGTTGTAAAAAAATGTCATTGATTAATATTTGAGTTAAAGAAAATTCCGTTAAATTTTATATTGAAGAACTAATTGACACTGAATGCTTTACAGTAAAAGCTATTCCAGTATCTTCAGTGAGAACATGCAGTATTCTGCTAGTTCTTCAATCATTGTTTGTATCTATCATTTTTTTAATAAGGTTAAACTAACAACAGCTACTTCTTTATCTAATTTTGTATTTATTAGGTTGTAGTATATTTGTCAAGAAGTAAATAAAATATTTCCCCTTTTTAAAGGTTTTGCTGATGCTGCTGTTGATCCTATGGATTTTCCAGTTGCTCCAGCTCAGGCTGTACATAAGGTTTGTACAATTTGTTAAAAATATGACTTTGAATATGTTCATAATTAGAGCATAAAGTTGGAAGATAAAAATTTGTCTGTTTTGCATGAATTAGATAAGAAAGTCTGTAATTTTATTTTTCAATATACTAATTTAATCCCAAATGTTCAAATTCACATGAACAGTATTTTTATCACTGAACACACTAAATTGTACAATAAGCTGTAACTTCAGTATGTTTGATGCACTTAAGTAATTCATTTTTTCTGTATAATCTGTTATAATCAAATGTTAAAAATCTTGCTGCTTTTATTATTTTTTTTTAAAGATTAGTCAAATTTCATGCTTATTACTGGTTTATTGATGAAATTAAATTTAAATTTAATACTATTCAAAACATAGTTTTAGTTTTACATAAAAAACAACTTCCAAATACCTTTTGTTTGCTGGCATGTTTTTTTATTTAATACTATTCAAAACATGATTTTAGTTTTACATAAGAAAACAACTTCCAAACACCTTTTGTTTGCTGGCATGTTTTTTTATTTAATACTATTCAAAACATGATTTTAGTTTTACATAAGAAAACAACTTTCAAACACCTTTTGTTTGCTGGCATGTTTTTGTAAGTTACTGAAACTAGCTGTTTATATCTTTTTTTTTTATCCTAAAAACATCTATATGGTACAGATCATTATTAACTTTGTTTAAGAAACAACCATAAAATTGCTTTATATTACTTCACACATTGCTAGAATTAAAAATTAATGTTTGAACAGCCATATGATACTGTGGTATACTCAGGTCAAACTTAACATCCTTAGAGTCATTGGATAGATGTATTAGTACAGAGTAGAATTCAAAATTAATGTTTGAACAGCCATATGATATTGTGGTATATTCAGGTCAAACTTAACATCCTTAGAGTCATTGGATAGATGTATTAGTACAGAGTAGTTCTAACTTGGTTCAATGTCGTATAAAACACAAACGAACAATCTTTATCATATCACAAGTACAATTTATGTACTTGTTTGATGATGAACAGTCACTTTTACAGGGTCAGAAATAAATCCTATCTATCTGACTTGGCCAGTGTCATTTATCAGACTGTTTAAACCTAACTTGACTTACTTCCATGGTAACACCAGACTTACTCAGAGCAACTAGCACTATCCACATGACTGGTTACGTTATCTCATTAAATCTTAATGGAGATATTAGAGGCTTCACTTCATCTACCCTTGGAGGACATTGCTTCAGTACCCTTGTGTAATGTATTAAAGCCATGGACAGACCAGGTGTTAGTTCACAAGAATGACAAAAACGAAAAGAACTTAGAATGGTATCACCTTAACAACTTCTTAACCACCCTCTATGCAAAAACTACACATTCCAGAATAACGGAAAATTTTCAAATAATACTATATTAAAATAAGAAGGTAGAAAACACATGGTATGTTTGTATAAAACAAAATACTATCACTAGAATGTGCATGGAACATCATAAGTAGGTTCTGGACAAAAAGCCTTATTAATTAATTAGTGTTTAGAACCTATTTTTTCATTTTCGGTGTAGCATATAACTGAATGTGATCTCTATCTA